TAAAAAAACCTGTGAATGCGCTCGTTCCTGCTCTCTTTTCTTTTGCTCAACTAGATGTACAGAAAGCAAGAAAAATTTCTGAAGCCTGTTTCGGCAGTGTATCTCATTATTTCTATTAGTTTTTACTCCCATCCTTATAACTTACTTGTTGAATAAAAAAAATTTGTTATTTTTTGAGGATTTTTTTTATAACATGTCCGCTCTATTAATTTTTAAAACTTTAAGTTTGTTTTCAAAAAATTTGAAGGTTACAGTCTTTTAATTCAGTGAAATCGAAACGGTAGCCAACTAATATTTTGCCACGGTTGCTAAGTAAAATATTTGTGTACGAGATAAAAGATGATGTATTTATAACAATTTTACGAACAACCTAAGAATAAACAAAGTTTTTTCCAATTTATGGAATAACGTCCATACCATCTAGACGATGAAGAAATAAAACTGATAAAGGGAAAACCTTTAAAAACCTGGGAAACTTTCCGTATGCTGCAAACAGTTATTAGTTTTTTGCCCAATTCTGCGTCTCGTGACTCATAATCGACCAAAGAAAAAAAGCAACTGTCACAGGTCATGTTTGAAAGTTATTCATAACACTGTCAATGTATCTAATAAGCCATTTGCATGAACAAAAAAAACTATCTTATATGTTAGAAGCACAAAGAACGCCTTTTATTTACACTGTTTGTCAGTGCATTCCGCAGTCTTCTGTTCCAACAGCCTTTACTTTTATCTCATTCGATACGTTCTTCTTATTAATGTCTAAAATTTTCAATTTTAGATTGATAGAAATCGAATTTTTCTGTAAATTTAAATTTTTTTCACTACGTCTTCTATCTACTTTAAAAGTCAAAAAATGAATGAGGATTGACGGTTTAGTGGTCGTTAGTTAGGTTTTGCTATTATGTCAGCGAGTGTTTGTAAAAATCATGGTCCTCCGTTAGATTCGAAACTGCAGTAGATATTAAATGTTTTGAAAAGAATTCAGATTTCTTCTAGCTGAATTTTTATTAATTCACCGATATAAAAATTATTTTTTCAACTGTATCTTTAACTGTTGTATAGCATAGTGACTGTTATACACATGAAAAATGATTAATTTTTTCTTACTACTCAAACAGTTGTGTAAAGCAAATAATCTTCTTTTACTTTAATATCCATAAAAGTGCTATAAGTCAGCAACAGTTAAAGATCATGTATTGATCGGTACGTGTAAACACAAATTGTTTACTAGCGAAAAGGGTACGTACTGGGAACCAACAAAAAAATATATCTCATCTATATCTTATATAGGCTTCTTTCGGTCAGAAGATAAGGCTGTTTTCTCACTGACTCAGTAACACTCCTTGCAGTATACGTTTGCTATATTTCATTCTGTAACAACTCAGAGTATATTATTCCTTGACTGATATGCAAAAAAACATTTGCTCTGCGTAGAGCAGATGAAGAAAAGAAAATAAAGTAGAAGGAGCCAGCAGAAGACTGAAGTTTTAAAAGAATGCAACAAAAAGAGAAATAAAGCAAATGAAAGGTGCAATTTTTATTTGTATCTCACTCTCCCAGAAATATTCACTAAACAATCAAATTTTACTGCTCCGTGCAACATAAACATTTTCCCAACGCATTCTAAAAAAAATCAAACAAGTTTGCACCAAATTATAGTGCTAGCTTCCATTATTAATTTTTGTTTGCATATTACATAGTGATTCAACAGCTTTATTCTACGCAACCGAAATTTAAAAACAGTTACTAAAAAAGATATCATTCTTATTCACATTGTTTCATTTACCTATTCTGTTTTTCAGCTCCTGTTATGCTCAAACCGGCGAAGTCAGGCAAATGCATTGGTGTACCACTTGCTATAGTAGTTTTTACGTTAATTATTTTTAATATCCACATCACTGTTCTGCTGAAAGATGAAGTTAATTCTGGAGCTGTTAATACACAAAAAAAAGAACCCAGTCATTCTGCAGTTGACTTGGAAAAAACTATTTATTTTAAAAATTTTACACGCCTATTTGCTGGAACAAAATTTTTTGGAATGGATGTAACAAACGAACGTTTTCTTGGCGGCTGCTCTGTTAAGGTCAGTGCAGATACCATTTAAGAAGTGTTCTTAAAATATAACGCCAAATTGTGTTAACAACGGTTTCTAACCTGCTTTTGGCACCCAAAAATATTTGTTTTAAATAACTCCTATGACTAAATTTAGTTTCAAAAAGACGAAGAACAGAAAAGTTAAAAAAAATTAATTTTTTCTTTGTGTATTATACCCTAATTTTGTATGCATCCTAACCCATTACAGCCTCCCAAGCAGGCAACTTTTTGCCAGTATCTAAAGCTTGCTTATGAAGGAAAGCAAAATCCATCCTCCATAAGAATGGTACTTTTTCAGACTAAAGGTGCCATTTGCAACAAGCATTTATCGGACATTTTCTAATGGTATTTTCTGAGCGACTTATCACAAGAAACTAATTACAGCTTCTGCCAGAGTTGAGCAGACAGGCAAGGGATGGTGATCCCTCAATCTGTTCATCCAGCTGTTCTAGTACAATGTTGGAAAAACACACTACATAAATTTTCAGACTCCTAAATTATTTGGAAGTTATTGCAGTGTTTAGGCAAGGTCGTAAGGAGCGCATTCTACAGTAGTTCTGAATAAGCGATATTTATAAACAGGCAAATTTTTGTTCTGATAGCAAATCTTTTTTTGGTTGGGTAAAAAGCGGAGAAGATGGCTGCGATCGCG